GAAAAAGCCCTAGAAATTTCCAGTTGCTCGACTGAATAAAATAGCTTCAGCTTTCTATTCTTAAACCAGATGGTGTTTGTAGTAGTGCCGAATTCCCTTTTAAACTAAAAACTGCTATTTATAACATCCTACACTACTTGCAAAGTTAAATGTTGTTAGCACAATCTCCGGCAAATTGCACTAACCCAATTATATTAAATTGTTCTGATAGTAATTGTACAATTACTAATTATCCCAGTCTTCTAGTAAATCAGGTCTATTGCCCTGAATTTTAAGAAGAGTGTTAATGCCTTTTGGCATAACTCAATTAATGCGTAATGTGTGTAAAATGAATGGTTTTTCTGTAAAAATTTGTTTGCATGTTGCATTCCTCCCATCTTGGATTAGGCAGGAAAATTATTGCCCTAGCTGCACACCCAAGTGGCTTGCTGAATAACTTGATAAATACTAATACTATACTTTTGGAATGTAAAAATTTCCATTCCTGACCAAATTAATAGTTCGTTCATTTTGTAACTTGTCTCCAACAATGGTCAGTACCAGCAATGCCTGAGCTAACGGGGTGAGAAAAGGTGCTCCCCTGGCAGCCTTTAGGTGTACATACGTATGACATCTTTTCACACACAGCGGGAGAGTGAGCCCTCTCCACACCCTCATTGGGCTGGAATTAGGGTTGTGATACTGTGGGTGGTCCATTACCCTGCCAATTGCAAAACTTGGCTCTGTCACTGCATTCCAGCTGCTGTTTCAGAAAGAGGTGTACAAAGAAATCCCTGCATTTTGTATCTTTTCTACCCATGATTGTGAATGCTTTCATTATCATCTAATATCGTTCTCTTTTGAATCTTCCAAACTCTTGATTTTAATGCCATGTTGCGGTAATGAGTTCCCAAGGTTAATAATATTTTCTGTAATTTTTTTCTCTTGATCAGTTTTAAAGTTGTTCCTTTTCAGTTTCATCTTGTGTGCCTCCATTTTTGGGTGCCCAACTTTAGACATTAATGTAGCCCAGTTGTCAGTGGGCAAATACTTAGCATTTTCTGGAGAAAACAAACAAACAAAAAACAGGCTTAAAAGTGTCTGAGGTTGGGAATCCAAAGCTTGAGGCAATCATTAGTCACTTTTGAAAATCTAGGGCTCTGTTACTGCCACCTATCACTCAGCCCTTTCTCCAGATCAGTTGTAAATACATTTACAGGTTCTGGTCCTATTACAGAACCTCAGGACACTCCACTGTTAACCTTCTACAGTGTCGAAAACTGACCATTTATTCCTATCTTTTTTTTCTTTACTGTTTTCAACCAAATCCAGGATAGAACTTGACCTCTGACTCAGAGTACTTTAATTTCATTAATAGCCTCCTCTGAGAGTCTTTGTCAAAGGTTGTGCAACATGACTTGCTGTAACAAGATAATCAATACTGACAGCACTGCTAAACAGGATTGTTCCAAGTGCAAAGACCGTAAACGTCAAGAACAAAATGTTCAAATCTGGATACAATAGGTGTGCCAGGCAAAAATCTCATGCACCGGATTAAAATCTAATAATAAGGATATTAGAGAGACTTTGTCTTCAGTTACAATAAGTTCAACATATAGCTTCCTATTATTTCAATTAAATGGTTTGATAGGACTGTAAAAAACAAAAATCACTTCCACCAGAGTATGACATGATTTTTTGTGCAAGACCATTCCACCCTTCCTATCAGGATTAGAGAACGTACATCACTTAAGCATATGTAGTGTTGGGCTACATCTACACTACAGACCTTACAGTGGCAGAGCTGTACCCCTGCAGCTGCGCCACTGTAAGGTCTCCTGTGTAGCTGCTCTATGCAGTCAGGAGAAAGCTCTCTTGTTGGCATAATTAAACCACCCCAATGAGCGGCAAGAGCTATGTCGGTGGGACAGCATCTCCTGCTGACATAAGGCTGTCCACTCCTTTTGTCGATGAAACTTATGTCTGTCAGGGGTGTGTTTTTTCACACCCTTTACCAACAAACATTTTACTGACAAAAGTGCTAGTGTAGACTTAACCCCTTGGTCTCAGGCTATTAATGAGAGAAGGTGGGTGAGGTAATATCTTTTATTGGACCAACTTCAGTTGGTGAGAGAGACAAGCTTTCAAGCTTACACAGAGCTCTAGCTAAGGTCTGAGAAACTTACTCAGAGTGTCACAGCTAAATAAAAGGTTTATTTATAAAATATTATTTAAAGCATAAGTAGTTAACACACATTTCAAGGGGCCATTCAAGATGAAATGGCCTATTAGCACCCTTCCAGTCATAGGGAGGAAACGAAGCATCTGTTAGTTGTAATAGCCATAAATCCAGTCTCTATTCAGTCCATGATTTTTAGTGTCTTGCAAACTTATGAATTTAAGCTACCTGGCTCATCTTTTGAAAGTGTTGTGCAGGTTTCTTTTGGGGCTGAGGACTGATAGGTCAGATATAGAGTGATCACTAAATTTCCCAGAACTGAAGTAGAGCTCTATGTAAGCTTGAAAGCTTCTCTCTCTCTCTCACCAACAGAAGCTGGTCCAATAAAAGATATTATCTCACCCACCGTGTCTTTCTTAAGCATGACAGTATTGCTGTACCTTCATAAATGTTATCTGGAATTTTTATAATAAGTGCATGATGACTTTCATTTGAAGACCTTAGATTTTTCAGTGCAGCATATGACAATATATTGTCCTGAATGACAACTCCTATTTTAATGTGCACATTTCATCTTTGTATTATAGCATAATATCTATTGCTATACTATAGTTTAGAAAGATAATTGTGTACCAGAAACACACACTATTCTTAAGTAGTGTTAGTGAAGTGTACACTCAGTACTATCAAATAGACACACCTAATAAAGATACCTTCTGGATGCTGTTTAACATTGTATCATGACAAATTTATAAACCACAAAAATATCTATATAAATCTCTATACATTACTGCTATAAAAAACTTCCAACATTTCTATACATACCACAATATTATTGTTTTCATCCCTTGTGAAATCCTTTGTATGCTCAGATAATGGGATTTCTGCTGACTTTCTAACATATTGTAGTTGAACAATCATCAGCCTTTTCACTTTGTACTATTCTAGATCAAACAGAAGAATCCTGAGTCTAGGTGAATGTAAAACATTGTAGCATCAATTAAACCAAGCTGTTTTATGTATAGAAATTACCACATGTGAAGCAAGGCGCAGCTGTGTGCAAATGTACTTTACAGTGATGAAGTTGCTTTTCTTTTCATAAAAAGTGCTGACAGACTGAAGTTGATGTAAGACTTTCCAGACATGGCTACAGCACCATATACATCTAGAATTCTTTTTTTTTTTAAATCAGCATTAGGGAATAATAGAGTTTTAAGATGGAATGTCCTTTTCCAGTGCACCATGCACTATTCATACTGGGTGAGATACATTCAGTACAGAAAACCTGGAAAAATGTACGTATGAACCATTTAAATCCCCTGTAAACCCTCTAAACAAAGGTTAAGTGGGACTTAAATGTTGCACAGGCTTGTTACACAACAGGTTTTCTCCAGTTAATATGGTAGTTTCTAATATGATGAAAGCTGCAACGTTTTAAAGCAACATGCATAAACTGTGTCTTGTTTAATTCATGTAATCCTATTTCTCATGTATTTTATCTATAAAAGAATAATCATTTCCCATCACCCTTCAGTAAGAACAATAAATAATGCTTAACATATTTAAGATATAAAATGGATCTTGCTTACCCAGCCATCAAGGAAATAATGCCTCCCTTATTAATTTATACAAGATGGAACTGTACGAGTCTACATTTAAACCCACAGACTTGAACAAGTTTGCATTAAGCAAAATAATGTTAGTCTTACAAAAAAAAAAAAGAAAAGAAAACTTGAAACACACACATACCACAGCACTCCACTCAAAGCAGATTAACGTCTGCATATCAAACCTTAAATAAACCATTCACATCATCAATACAAATGTCACTTTTTATATTAGGTGAAACTCAAAGGGGCATATTTCATTGTAAAAGATGAGGTTCTCTTGCAGCAAATTGAAATGTACCATGTTCATTATTTATGTATTGGACAACATAAGTAAATGGGTCTGTTTTTCACTAAGGATTCTCCACTTAACAGCTAAAAGAGACCACCTTCTCTCGTCCATAGCCATAGAGATCAATCTAGTCCAAAGCTGAGCATTTTCTGTTCTTTAATTTTGCTGTTCATTAGCAATTATGTTTTCAGAAGAGAAACCCTCAAAATAAATGCTGGACTAGGAAAGGAGAAGAGAAGCTCCGTTGCATGCGCTCCATCCCACGCCCCATGGAAGCACCCTCTCTATTAGCTCTGAAGCATTGTCATTCCATGGGCTGGGAGAAAGATTAACCCAGAGAGCAGACCTTCTTTGTAACATGATCCTCTTGGAGCCAGGAGGCTATCCACATAAAAGATAATACTATTTCTAGCAGAATTCATTTCCCTTTACTACTTATAAGGGTTTAACATAGCAGCATGCCTGCTGTGGGAGAGGGGAGACTGAGAAGCATATGGGGCAGTCCTTCCATATGTTTGGGGGTTCCTTTTTTTCTAGATTATTAGGGATCTACGGTGTTTGGAGACTTGCTCCCTACCATAAATATTTCCTCCCTGAGGAAAATCTAAGTAAGAAACTGTGAGGTTACCTTTATGTAGTTTACTCTGTCCCCTTCCCATCCATTTAATTTAGAAAGAGGGCAGTGGGAGAAGAAGAGGGAAATACACAATATAGCTAAAATATTTGCATTTCTGACAAAATTATATGTATTGACTTTCCTTATTTTCACTCATTCATATGTCTAGTTTGTTCCTTCACTTATCAACAATGATAACAGTCCTGGTATTAAAATACACCTTTGACATGTTGAAACATTTATTACTTGTAATCGCCATCAATGTTGATAGCAAATTAACTTGCTCAGAAAGAATCCTGGTCATAGCTCAGTTTGATTTTTTAAAAGGCAGAGCAAATAATGTTGCTCCTGAAAGGGACACAGCACAAGCGGAGAAACCGGTTTCCCCAACAGCCAGGATATGTTTATCACCCTGGACCTGGAGCCAGTAACCCCCGAACTCACCCAAGGCGCGCTCCCAGACCCTGAGGGCACACAGGGGACCTCTGGTGAGTGTACCTTTGTAAATATTACACATGGTTTAAAAGCAAGTGTTTTTAATGATTAATGATTAATTTGCCCTGGCAATCGCGGCCAATACAGCTACTGGAAAAGTCTGTTAACGTGTACGGGGCTGGAGCGGAAATCCTCCCGGGACCTCTCCAGACACCGCTCCA